CTTATGTCTGGGGCAGGGATGCTCTGTCTTCCTGGTGATGGGGGGGGGGACAAGAGTGGGAGGGCTTCTGGAGTTCTGGCCCCGCTGGTGGACTTCCTTGATGGTCCCTGGGTTTTGGCCCCTGTGTGACACAGAGAGTTGGACTGGATGGGCCACTGGCCTGATCCAGCATGGCTTCTGTTCTTATGTCTGGGGCAGTGATGCTCTGTATTCTTGGTGCTTGGGGGACAACAGTGGGAGGGCTTCTGGAGGTCTGGCGCCACTGGTGGACCTCCTGGTGGCCCCTGGGTTTTGGCCACTGTGTGACACAGAATGTTAGACTGGATGAGCCACTGGACTGATCCAACATGGCTTCTCTTCTGTTCTTATGTCTGGAGCAGTGAGGGTCTGTCTTCTTGGTGCTCGGGGGGCCACAGTGGGAGGGCTTCTGGAGTTCTCGCCTTGCTGGTGGACCTCCTGATGGCCCCTGGGTTTTGGCCACTGTGTGACACAGAGTGTTGGACTAGATGGGCCATTGGCGTGATCCAACACGGCTTCTCCTGTGTTCTTATGCCTGGGGCAGTGAGGCTCTATCTTGGGGGGCAACTGTGGGAGGGCTTCTGGAGTTCTGGCCCTGCTGGTGGACCTCCTGAGGGCCCCTGGGTTTTGGCCACTGTGTGACACAGAGTGTTGGACTAGATGGGCCATTGGCGTGATCCAACACGGCTTCTCCTGTGTTCTTATGCCTGGGGCAGTGAGGCTCTATCTTGGGGGGCAACTGTGGGAGGGCTTCTGGAGTTCTGGCCCTGCTGGTGGACCTCCTGAGGGCCCCTGGGTTTTGGCCACTGTGTGACACAGAGTGTTGGACTGGATGGGCCACTGGCCTGATCCAGCATGGCTTCTCCTGTGTTCTTATGCCTGGGGCAGTGAGGCTCTATCTTGGGGGGCAACTGTGGGAGGGCTTCTGGAGTTCTGGCCCTGCTGGTGGACCTCCTGAGGGCCCCTGGGTTTTGGCCACTGTGTGACACAGAGTGTTGGACTGGATGGGCCACTGGCCTGATCCAGCATGGCTTCTCGTACGTTCTTACTTTGTAAAACCATACCTGGCTGGCCAGGTTGAAAGAAAATTCAGTCCTTACAACCCCCAATGTCCTTAACTCCCAAGTCCTCCTTGTCTTTTTCTCACACATGCTGTGTCTAGCTAGTCACTTTTTACAAAATGGACTTGGTTTTCTTTAAAACGCAGGAGTGGGTGTGGAAGCCGAGATATAGAAACTCGTGGAAATGGCTGTAATTCTTCTCTGCGTTCTTACCATGGAAGTGCTCCTGATTTCTCCTTCATGGGTCTCTGTGCTCATTTTCTTTGTAGCCGTGTCCTTCTCAGAAGCTCAGCAGTCCAAGCTGGTCTTGAATGGCGTCTCCCCGGTTCCGCGAGAAATGGCCTTCCCCGTCCCGAAGGGGGAAAACTGGCACGACCTCTACGATTACATTAGGCACGGTTTGCTAAATTCTGGTTCTGCCTAGATGTTTCTTCTTTTTTCTTTTAACAAAAATATCTCCTGTATAGAAATGGAAGAACTGGCATTGGGGGTGTGTATTGTAATGGAGAACCACCACCGGTTGTGTGTGTCGTATCTGAGCATTTATGTATTTAATGCGGAACGACCCCTGGTTGTGTGTGTTGTATGTGGGCATTTGAGAACTGTGATACTGCTGTGGGAAAGATTGGATGCCCTGTTGGTACTGTTGGTACAGCTTTCCGTGGCCAGTTTGGTGTAGTGGTTAAGTGTGCGGACTCTAATCTGGGAGAACCGGGTTTGATTCCCCACTCCTCCACTTGCACCTGCTGATGTGACCTTGGGTCAATCACAAGCTCTGGCACAGCTGTCCTTGAAAAAGAGCAGTTTGTGTCAGAGTTCTCTCAGCCCCACCCACCTCACAGGGCGCCTGTCGTGGGGAGGGGAAGGGAAAGGAGTTTGTAAGCCGCTCTGAGACTCCTTCGGGTAGTGAAGGGCGGGGTATAAATCCAATCTCTTCTTCTTCTCCTTCTCCTTTGTGGTCCTCTGCACTCATCCATCAATCACAGCTCACAAAATCTTCCTCCGTTTTGGTGCAGTGGTTAGGAGCATGGACTCTAATCTGGGAGAACTGGGTTTGATTCCCCATTCCTCCACATGCAGCCGTCTGGGTGACCTTGAGTCAGTCACAAGTTCTCTCAGGGCTGTTCTCTCAAGGCCAGTCCTCGAGAGAGCTCTCTCAGCCCCACCTGCCTCACAGGGTGTCTGTTGTGGGGAGGGGAAGGGGAAGGAGATTGTAAGCCAGTCTGAGACTCGCTCGGGTAGTGAAGGGTGGGGTATAAATCCAGTCTCTTCCTCCTCCTCCTCCAAGGATCACGTTCTTTCAGCCTTGACAGGCGTAACTCTTGTGTCTTGCATGGCACAGCAAAGCACAACCTTGCCTAATGATATATCCATGCTGCCTCTTTGCCAGTCATCCTCTCTTTTCACTCAGGTTTCCTTCAGATGGATCTAAGATGCCGTTTGACTCTATTCAGAAAGGCACTTTGAAGCCAGCTGCAGGTAAGGGGAATGGATTCTGGGATTGGAGGGAGCCTCAGGGTCACCGTACGAGTGACTCCCCAAAGTCCCAGGGTAGGACTGTAATCTGGGAGAGCCGGGCTTGGTTTTCCCACTCCCTCACATGCAGCTGCTGGTGTGACCTTGGGTCAGTCACAAGTTCTTTCAGAGGTGTTCTCTCAGGGGCAGTCCTTGAAAGAGCTCTCTCAGCCCCACCACCTACCTCGCAGGGTGTCTGTCGTGGGGAGGGGAAGGGAAAGGAGATTGTGAGCCGCTCAGACTCTCTCTCTCTCTCTCTCTCTGGCTCTTCAGATGCTCCCGTTCAAGATGGTCCAGTCAATCACTTTCCCAAGCAAGTCACTCTGAGCAAGCCTGTTCGGGACCGAGTATCTCTCATCCAACAAATCACCAGTCCGAAGGAGGTGACAATATCCTTCTGCTGCTATGACTTTCCCTCGGGGCCTCGTGCAGTTTGACAGATCCACCACCCAGACAAGAACATAGCTGCTGCCTCTCTAGGAAGCAGAGGTTTATGGCACTTGTTTTGGGAAATTTCTGGAGATTTGGGGCTTGGAGGGGGGGGTTTGGGGAGGGGAGAGAGCCCAGCAGGGTACAACGCCAGAGAGTCCCCCCTTCCAAAGCAGCCATTTTCTCCTGGGGAGCTGATCTCTGTAGCCTGCAGAGCAGTTGTGATTCCCGGAGATCTCCAGGGCCCACCTGGTAGAGGATGGCAAACCTGCTGTTGCTTCTGGCAGCTGCCCGAACCAATCCCTTACACCTGATTATACACATGAAGCTGCCCAGGTCTGCCCCAGACCCTTGGTCCACCCAGGTCAGTATCGTCTACTCAGACTGGCAGTGGCTCTCCAGGGTCTCAAGCTGAGGTCTTTCCCATCACCTCCTCTCTGATGCTTTTAGCTGGAGATGCCGGGGATTGAACCTGGGACCTTCCCCATGCCAAGGAGAGGCTCTGCCACTGAGCAACAGCCCCTCCAGGGTCTGAGGCAGAGGACCTTCACATCACCTCCTGCCTGGTCCTTTTAACTGGAGATGCCGGGGACTCAACCCGGGACCTTCTGCATGCCAAGCAGAGGATCTCCCACTGAGCCACAGCCCCTCTTTACAGCTCTCCAGGGTCTCAGGCGGAGGTCTTTCCCATCACCTCCTGCCTGGTCCTTTTACCTGGAGATGCCGGGGATTGAACCTGGGACCTTCTGCCTGCCACGCAGAGGCTCTGCCACTGAGCCACAGCCCCTCTTCACACCTCTCTGGGGTCTCAGACTGAGGTCTTTCCCATCACCTCCTCTATGATGCTTTTAACTGGAGATGCCGGGGATTTAACCTGGGACCTTCTGCATGCCAAGCAGAGGATCTCCCACTGAGCCACGGCCCCTTCCCCTTGTGCGGAGGAACACCATGAACAGAAATCTGTTGCTCTGGTCTCCGCTCCTAATGCTTCCTTCCCTCCCAGATGCCTCGTCAGTCTCCGCTCCTAACCAAGAACATCCCCAGAGTGAAGCTGGCAGCCTCTGAACCTCTGCAGGCGAAGGACCAAGGCGGCTGGAGGGAAGGGAGCGATTCCCATCTCCCGGTTTGTCCGGACGACGGCGGCATCCATGTGTACGCCCACAAAAACGGGGATATCACCATCCATGCGGTCAGCGTTGATTCCGATGAGGTGGGCGAGAGCGCGGTCAGCTGTAGCGGAATTCCTTTGTTCTAGATTGCAAGAAATGGTTGCGGGTGGGAGGGAGGGCAGCCGACGAGTCCTCAAGAATGGTTTCCTGTCCTGAAAAACACAAAGTGCTCCACATCCTACAACAGCACTACAGATAAGGTTAGAATTTCAACAGCCCATCCCTATGCAAAAGAACCTCCTCAGGAAAGCTCCCCCATTAGCATGTCTCACAACCCAGGGATCTCCAACAAGAGAATGACTCAGCCCTACCCCACCTTCCTGAGTAGATATAAATTACCTGCCTACCATTTTTCCTCTCACCTTGACACGGAGAGGACTCCATCTTTTGGTGTTATACCTCTGAGGATGCCAGTCACAGCGACTGGCGAAACGTCAGGTCCTACAGTGCCACACAGCCCGGAAGATCTACAACAGCTAATGTTGTGGATTGTTAGGGGAGTTTTGCGAAACTCTCGTATAACCCCCCCCCCCCTTTCCCTGCGTTCTCTCTGGGGGAGAAAAAGTTTCAGTCAAGGCTTTTCACTAACAAGGCAGGCAGTTTTATCAAGAGTGATCATTCTGATGCAAGCAAAAACAGATCACGCCAGCATAGTGAACAAGACTGAAAGTTCTTTATAGGACAAAAGAGACAAAAGGTCAGGGTCTGGTATTTCATAGACTTGGAAGGGACCTCCAGGGTCATCTAGCCCAATGCCACACCCCCAGTGCCCGCTGTTCCACACCCAGAAGGTGACAAAAAACCTCCAGGATCTCCGGCCAAACTGGCCTGGAGAAAAATGGCTTCCTGACCCCAAAGTGGCGATCGGCATTTCCCTGGGTGTGTGAGGAAGGGCCACAAGAACTAAGCTAGGATCTCATGCCGACGTTTTGCATTTCGGCTAGCATTTGATTGTAAAATCTCAAACCATGCTAGGATTGCCTTGTATTTTGAGATATTGGGAATATTGGTTGATGTTGTTCCTTGCACCTACCCTTCAACTTTTTCCTTTGTTTGATTTATCCATGTTATGCCGAATAAAGGTTTTCTGTTTCTGTTCTTCTGTAAAATCTCCGTTTCTCTAGGACGCCTCCATAGAAATGCCCAGACCGAAAGCGATCTCCGCCAAGAGTTCTTCTTCCTGCACGGTGAGAAAACATACCTTACTCTTCCACTTGGAAAAAAAAAGAATTCAGTCAGTAATACCGTTTTTGGCGTAGATTAAAACATATCAGGAAGAAAAAAGAATGCAATTAAAACATTAGTAAAGGGAAAGGTGTCCCTTGCTCGAAAGCCAGTCGAATCCGACTCTGGGGTTACAGTGCTCATCTCCGTTTGAAAGCCGAAGAGCCAGCGCTGTCCGAAGACGTCTCCGTGGTCATGTGGCCGGCATGACGGGGGTAATTCCTCTTCACGTCGCTTTGCCTTAGATTCCCAAATTCTCATAGCCGTTACCAGATACCAGGCTACCAGGGAAGTAATATGAGGGCTTCAGACTAATAGAAGATCTGAGAGTGACGTAATTCAGCGTAAAGATCGCAGTAGAGTAGCCTGTGGACAGCAGATCCGGGGATTCCAGCCTTATACATACAGAGTCTTTGAGAGCAGGGAACATTCTGGAATCTTCCAAAAAAAGGGACCACTGTGGGGAGGGCATTGAACCTCGCAAGCATAAAAGCTCTTTGTGTTTGAGGAGAAGTTAAATGTGAGAAACGGGAGGTTAAAACTCCCTGCTCAGGCACAATACCAAACACCATTGGAGAATATATCCAGTTTGCTTCGTGGAGGACAGGTCTATCAGTGGCTACTAGGCATGGTGACTAAAGGGAAATCTCCACATTTAGATGCACTTAAAAACAAACAAACGCTATAGCTTGGATGCCCACTGCCTCTTCGTATTTCCTGACTTCCTGGAAAGAGAGCCAGTTTGGTGTAGTGGTTAGGAGCGCGGACTCTAATCTGGGCGAACCGGGTTTGAGTCCCCACTCTTCCACATGCAGCTGCTGGTGTGACCTTGGGTCAGTCACATGGTCTCTCAGAGCTGTTCTCTCAAGAGCAGTCCTCAAAAGAGCTCTCTCAGCCCCACCTACCTCCCAGGGTGTCTGTTGTGGGGAGGGGAAGGGAAATGAGACTGGAAGCTGCTCTGAGACTCCTTCGGGTAGTGAAGGGCGGGGTGTAAATCCAATCTCCTCTCTCTCTCCTCCTGATTTGAGCTTGCGGACACGGCCCACGCTCCCCAAATCCCCGCCTCTTTCCCCTCCTGCAGTCACCACTGCCTCCTGTCCATTTCTAACCTTGCAATGACCACTGGTGTCCCCGTCTCGGCCCCGAGCTGTGCAGCTCGAAGCAGCTTCAGCCGCTTTTAAAAACGACCCGTTGTGGTGTAAAGGAAGCCCCCACTGGATGCGTGCTGATTTGAGTCTGATATCTGGTTTCCAGAGGCTCCTTCCAGATCCGATCCTGAAGCTGAAGAGGGTTATTGGGTTTGGCGGCTGCAACACCAGATGGGTCAGTATGTTCAGTCCCCTTCCCCGCCACATGCTAGGACCTTTAATGGCGCAAGCGGAAAGTGCGACGGGATCAGTGTTCCCTCTAAGCCAGTTTGGTGTGGTGGTTAAGTGCGCGGACTCTCATCTGGGAGAACCGGATTTGATTCCCCACTCCTCCACTTGCACCTGGCTGGATGTCCTTGGGCAAGCCGTAGTTCTGGCACATCTGTCCTTGAAAAAGAGCAGTTACTGTCAGAGCTCTCTCAGCCCCACCTAACCTCACAGGGTGTCTGTTGTGGGGAGGGGAAGGGAAAGGAGTCTGTAAGCCGCTCTGAGACACCTTTGGGTAGTGAAGGGCGGGGTATAAATCCAATCTCTTCTTCTTCTAAGCCAAGTTAGTGTGAGCCAGCTCACAGTTTTCTAGCCTCCGGCTCACACGTTTCCGTCTTCGCTCAGGGAGGATGGGCCCCAGAGCCACCTGATTTATGCCGCAGCCCAGTCGCTCGCTCACCAACTTTAATGCCAGTAGCTCACAAAGTAGGATTTCTGCTCACGAGACTCCACAGCTTGGAGGGAGCACTGAATGGGAGATGTGTGAGCGTTGGTGCGTGGCTCAGTCCCGCCTCTCCTCGTGTTGGGGAATAAGCTGGCCAAATGCATCAAACGGGTGTGTGTGTCAAGCTGATCTAGAGAAGGGGGGGGGTGAGAGAGAATGTATAAGACTTTGTTTGCAACTTTGGAAAGTCTCTCAAGCTTTATGAGGCCAAAATGTCTTATTTGGATTCCCCCCCCAATTGCATTGTCAACAAGCCAGTCAGACCTGTTAGACCCCCCCCCCCCAAACATGTTCATGGAGAAGCGGCATAAAAATGTTCTACAGTTTGGTGTCGTGGTTAAGTGCGCGGACTCTAATCTGGGAGAACCGGGTTTGATTCCCCACTCCTCCACTTGCAGCTGCTGGTGTGACCTTGGGTCAGTCACAAGCTCTGGCACAGCTGTCCTTGAAAAAGAGCAGTTTGTGTCAGAGTTCTCTCAGCCCCGCCCACCTCACAGGGTGTCTGTTGTGGGGAGGGGAAGGGAAAGGAGTTTGTAAGCCGCTCTGAGACTCCAAGTGAAGGGCAGGGTATAAAACCAATCTCTTCTCTTCTTCTTCTTCTACATAAAAACCTTGTGTCATCCAGGCACTTTGGACTGCCCACGGTACCGTGGTGGTCTACCCCTGCCACGCCCTCATCGTGGCGGTCGCTCTGGACTCCGGCCGACAGTGGTTCTTCGCCGGCCACACGGATAAGGTAACGTTGGCGCCTTCGTTGGACCTCACTTTTGGATCGTCTCGATCCCATTCAAAAAGAGCTCGAAAGCAGGCACCTCATGGGAGGAGAAAAGATGTAATCCAGGCAGTGTTCCCTCTAAGCTGAGTGAGTGTGAGCCAGCTCACAATTTTTTAGCCTCCGGCTCACACATTTTTGTCTCAGCTCAGGAAGGACGGCGCCAGAGCAAACTAATTTATGCAGCAGCCAAATCACTTGCTCACAACTTTAATGCCAGTAGCTCATTAAGTAGAATTTTTGCTCACAAGACTCCACAGCTTAGACGGAGCATTGATTCCAGGGCTTCTGTAGCGTTCCGAGTCACGTTGCTTAGAAGTTATCCAGTTGTTGTTTCAAAGATTCCCCGTCGGGAGGTCCCAGTGTACATCTCGCCTCCTCCGTGAATTCACTCGAGGGCCTTGGGCAAGCTCTGTTTAGCCTCCTGTGCACCATATGGGTGTGTGATAATATTGTCCTGCCTTACAGGGCTGTTGTACTGATTCCTGAGAATTAATATGAAATTTTTTGAACATTCTCTTTAGAGAGAGAGAGAGAAATATAGATATTTAGTAGTGGCGTTCTTAGAGACACCCAAAGCTTGTTTCTGTTATTGGTTCAATAAAGTCACTGTTATCAGGGCTTCTTAAACTTGCTTAAAGACAAGGCAAGTGGCAAGGGGTTTTCTGTCCAGTTGGGAGAAGGCTCAAGGCAGTGCTTTAGCAAAAGAGACAGCGTAGAGTAGTGGTTAGACCTGGATAGCCCAGGCCAGCCTGATCTCATCAGATCTTGGAAGCTAAGCAGGGTCGGGCTTGGCTAGTATTTGGAAGGGTGACCTCCAAGGAATACCAGGGTTAGGAGGCAGGCAATGGCAAACCACCTCTGAAACGTCTCTTGCCTCAAAAAACAAAGCCTGGCTCGCCACCTAGTGGTGCATAACTAAAGGAGCTAGAATGTCTAGCTGCCAGACAATCTTAGGATCTCCTGGCTATACTACACGCACTGCCAGGCAGGCAATGGCAAACCACCTCTGAAACGTCTCTTGCCTCAAAAAAACAAAGTCTAACTCGCCACCTAGTGGTGCATAACTCTAAAGGAGCTAGAACGTTTAGCTGCCAGACAATCTTAGGATCTCCTGGCTATACTACACACACTGCCAGGCAGGCAATGGCAAACTACCTCTGAAACGTCTCTTGCCTCAAAAAACAAAGTCTAACTCACCACTTAGTGGTGCATAACACTAAAAGAGCTAGAACGTCTGGCTGCCAGACAGTCTTAGGATCTCGTGGCTCTACTACACACACTGCCATACAATAATTATTAACTATTATTAGCAGAGTGTCGGGACTAGGATCTGGGAGACCCAGGTTCGAATGTCTGCTCTGCAATGAAAGCTTGTTGGATGACCTGTGGCCAGTCACATTCTCTCAGCCTAACCTACCTCACAGGGGTGTTGTGAGAATAAAATGGAGGAGGGGAAAATGATATAACCTGCTTTGGGGTCCGGCTTGGGGAGAAGGGCAAGTTATGAATAAAGTAAGGGTGTAAAAGCAGGGCGTGAATAAACAAAAGGAAATGGTTGCTTCTCTCCTATGATGTGGGAAATGGACTTTCCACAAGGGTGTGGTTATTTCCCCCCCTGTAGGTGGCAGCGCTGGCCTTTAACGGCAACAGCACCCTGCTGGCGTCCGCTCAGATCGGGCACCTGAGCATGATGCGCCTCTGGGACTTTGCGACGGCAGAATGCCTCTCCATGTTCAAAACGGGAATGCATGCGGTCTCTTGCCTCAGGTGTGTACGAGAGCACCGTCACAGGTGGGGGGAGAGGAGTGTGTAAAGTAAAAAGGCAGACTGCCGGGTTGGGTTGGTGGTAAAAGCGCTGACTTTTTCAACCTGGGCGTTTGTCCCCCTGCAGTTTTTCCTACAACGGGAATATCCTTTGCGGCACCGGGAAAGACCGGCACGGGAAAACGGTGAGTTCATCCCTGTTCCTTCCTTTTCCGGCCAAGTCAGAGATGTCACCATTCTGATATTCCTTGCAGCTGACGAAGGGGCCTGTGGCTCTTGAAAGCTCACACCCTGGGAATCTAGTGGGTCTCTGAGGTGCGGCTGGATTCGAACCTGGCTCTTCTACTCCAGACCGACAGGGCGGCCCTCCTGAAATCTCGTGGTTGTCCCTAAAGAATTCTTGAGCGTGGACGGCCTTGGCGCAAGCTCTGTTATAGCCTCCTCCCCACCATATGGGCGTGTGATAATATTGACCCACCTTACAGTGCTGTTGTACTGATTCCTGAGATTTAATGTGAAGTTCTTTGAGCACTCTCTCTAGAGAGTTATATATACTTTAGTAGCGACATTCTTAGAGACACCCAAAGCATTTTCCTCCCGTGGATGAGAGACAGCACGGTGCAGAGGTTAGAGTGTTGAACTAAGATCTGGGAGACTCAGGTTCCAATCCCTGCTCTGCCTTAGAAGCTTGCTCGGTTCAGTCGCACTCTCAGCCTGGCCTACCTCGCAGGGTTGTTGTGAGGATAAAACAGGGGAGAGGAGAGTGATGTAAGCCACCTTGGTCTCCACTGTGGAGAAAGACTGTACTTTTTCTCCTGGGGAATCATTGCTGCCAGTCTCCAGGTGAGGGCTGGAGATCACTCAGAATTACAACTGCTCTCCAGATGGTAGAGATCATGGGCAGATAATGGTAGGTTGATGGTTGGCTGGGAAGGAGATAGGGTTGCCACCTCCAGGTTTGGAAATCCCTGGAGATTTGAGGGGTGAAGCATGGAGAGGGTGGGGTTTGAGGAGGAGTGGGACCTCAGACAGATATAATGCCATAGACCCCACCCTCCACCAGCCATTTCCTCCTGAGGAACTATTGCTACGATTCTCCAGGTGAGGGCTGGAGATCACTCAGAATTAAAACTGTTCTCCAGATGGCAGAGATCAGTTCCCCTGGAGAAAATGGCTGCTTTGCAGGGTGGACTCCGAGTCATTAGACCGTGCTGAGGTCACTTCCCCTGCTGAGGATAACAAAACCATAAGATAACATTAAATAACAAATAATAATGGAAGTAGCAACCATGTCATGTAGTGCTCTTAATTCCTTATTCCACTGCAGTCATCCC